AAGCTAAACCCAAAACCCTACAAACCCTAAACACTTCAAGTAAGGCAAAGGGGCCCCTAGCGGCAACATACGGAACAAGGTGCGCTAAAAAACAGCAGCCCCAAAACCGTAGCCCCTATACACCCTAGCAACATTCGAGGCAAAGGGGTGTATCCCGCCACGGATATGGATGGTGAGCTGTTGGCCGGAAATCGCAGCATTCGGGCTGGTTCCCGCATATGCGGGCCCTACACGATTGTTCTGGATGCCTTTCAGATGGATCAGGAGTTTATCTCGAAATGCTTCTCATTACTAAGCCCGGAGCTTATTCACCTGGATCGTATGCAGGCTTATACTTTTGCTTGTAGAGCAACCTTCTAGAAACTCATTGCGCAAGGAAACTACAACCGCAAGATGGTCTGCCATTACTGCTCAGACACTCAACAGCAGTCCAAGGAGTTGTTATTATAAGCTCTAGTTCTCAAATCTGCCCTGAACTGAAGTTCCTACAGGCTCTTCAATGGATTCTGGAACACCCTGGGCCCCATGACCCGGAGCCCAATGACGTAGAGTTGCTCTACACTACTTTTGGCGAAGCAGCTCAGCATCGCCGCACGTTGCTGGACGCAGCCGCAGGAACATGTTATGGCTGGCAAATGTTCTGAAACCACAAACCCAGGATGGGCTATTTGACGGTGTATTAGCTATAGGTAAATACAATAATTGGGCCCTTAAGGTCGAATAACCCATCTTGACTTTTCTTATTCAAGATTGAACGTAGCTGTGGTTTTCTATCTGAGGCTCACGAGATCTGAAGATTTTCTTTCAATTAATCTCTGGTCCCCCTTTGGATCGCTTCCTGGCAGCTACGCCCCTTGGAGCCCCTTGCTCGGATTGATCAGGTTCGGCTTTCTCGGGATTATATATAGGTTTCTGGGTTTCAAACTTGCCTTAAACCTGAAAGCTCTCCAACCTGAACCCCTTACCATTTACCATCTGGATTCTATAGCTTAGGAATCCTTCCGGACTACATGCATGTCATGCATCTTGCATGCGTGGGTGATGCTTTGGTCGCTCTGCTGCTGGACTTATCGGATACTGCGTATCCTTGGGCTGGTGCTTCGAGAGATGCCCGTTTGAGCTTAGCATGGGACAACTATAAGAGCTACTGCCAATACTGGAATGCGCCGGACCGATGTGAGCGGAAGGTATTCACCAACGAGCTCTTGAAAGGGGACTATCCTACATTGTCGCAGAAGTTTATGCGCGGGGCCGCTGCCAAATACATTGTTTTCTGGATGCAGTGGCTTATGAGGAGTTTGGTTCACGCAGACCCCTCGCCTGCCGACAACCTACTGCATCCATGATTCTTTATCAAGTCTTTCACGTGAGTAATGTACAAGTTGGAAATCCTCAAAGTTTTTTTGGAAAATTCGGGTTTAGGGTTTCTAGTGCTTGGAGCTTAGGGTTTAGGGTTGAGGGTTTAGGTGTTGGTTTGAGCTTAGGATGCTTTAGGATTAGGGGTTATAATCCAAGATGGGTTATTAGACCTTATAAGGGCCCAATGAACATACTTACCTCAAGTTACTGTATAGGGTCTAACTGCCCATCCTGGATTATAGAGGGCTTATAGGGTTTAGGGTTTATCAAGGCTTATAGGTTGTAAAACCTTGCGGAACGTCCCCGATTAGGATTTTTTCTTTTTCTTTTTTTCCCTCGAATCATTCAAATACTTCAGGTGGATGCTG